ATCTGAGTGGTTTTCACCAACTATACCCCTAAACCCTAAAGTCCCTTAGGCTCCGAAATCCCCAAGCCCAAGTCCCAAGCCCTCATGTCATCGGCCCTTCAGAAGCCTCGAGGCCCTCAAGTCCAGCACTGGAGTTTCGGATCTGGGCTTCGAGGTACTGTAGGGCCCAGGGATTTCGCGGCTTAGGGATTGTAGAAGATCGGTAATTTGGGGGTTTCCTAAAATAGGGGGACCCTCATATAGTACCCTAAATAGTAGGATCCTTGTTATGAGGACCCTAAAATAAGGTACCCGAATTTTCGGAAAGCCCCATTTAGGGGGTTTGGGGTTTATGTCTGCACTTCATTAAAGGGTGACAGGCACAGGGCTTAGCCTCAATCCTGCAGAGCTCAGGGAACAAAAAGAACGAAACCCTAGGCACATACACCCCTATACCCTAAACCCTAAAACAGGGAAACCCCCAAGCACATCATGGATCCCACCCTAAACCCTAAACTCTAAACCCTAAATCCTAAACCCTAATACGCTAAACCCTAAGAAAGGGAAACCCCTAAGCACATCATGGATCCGGGCTGTTGGGGAGTCTGAATCTGGTGCAAGGCTCTTCTACGCCTGCGACCGCCTCAACCTGGAGTTAATCCGGCCTCGGGCTCAGAGGTTAAGGGTTTGAGGGTTTAGGGTTGAGGGTTTAGAGGCTTCGGGTTTAGGGTTTGAGGGTTTGAGGGTTTAGGGTTAGAGGCTTTGTTTAGGGTTTAGGGTTTTAGGGTTTAGGTTTTAGGGTAGAGGCTTTGGGAGTTTAGGGCTTAGGGTTTAGAGGCTTAGAGGTGTCGGTTATGTAGGTGTGGTTGGGTAGGATTTTCGGTATCCCCAGAGCTTGGCTTTCGGGTCGAGGCTTTAACATGGGCACGGCAACAAAAGAGAATAGTATCTTTGTGTCTCTTGCGGTAGTGCAGTAATCAAGAGCAGCGCTTTGGCTCATGTTGTAATATAGCTATGTAGGGACTACAAGCAGATATGATCACTAGTCGTTCAGTTTTCTATGTTAGAGGATTAATTAATCCTGGGGCCTTGCTTTCTATGAAAGAGGGTTCTCAGTGAGGTCCGTTAATAGGTAGCAGCTCACGACGCCTTGTTTGGGATCTTGGTTGAGACAGGGGGTGCTGCGATTGCGGAGGAGGGGTGAAGACGAAGAGTTCGGGATTTGGTAGGGTTTGGGCTGTATACGGTTTAGGGTTTAGGGTTTAGGATTTAGGGTTTAGGGTTTAGGGTTTAGGGATAGGGTTCAGTGGTTTAGGGTATGGGGGCTCAAGGTGTAAACATAGGGTGTCGGGTTTAGGGCAGAGGTTTGGGGTTTAGGGTTTAGGGTTTAGGCTTTAGGGTTTAGGGTTTAGGGTCTCCAAGTTGAGGGCCTTGGCTGGCAGGGACCCCTGAGGCTCAAAACCGCCGGGTTCGGGGTTCAGTCCTACTCGAACCGGAGGCTTCGGAGCTCCATGCGCGTCCAGAAAGAAGCCCCAGTCCCCAATATAGGGGCCTTTATAATTAGAATAGGGTTTGGGGTATACTATACTATACTATACTATACTATACTATACTATACTATACTATACTATACTTATTATAAGGAACCCCCAAAGCCACATTCTCATTATTAAGGCCCCGACATTAAGCCTGGCGACTCTGAGGCTTATGTAAATCCGACTCTGGCAGCTGCAGGCATCGGTGTATGCTTGAGACCCAAAGCCCTCGACCCTCAACAAGCCGAGCCCTGTGCCGACGTGAATAAAGGGGGAAGCTCCACACGAATCGCGAAGATAGCATCCTTACTATCACAGGACCCCTCGTTTCGGGACCCACTATGAAGCACATCGCTTACAGGCGTACAGAAAACCCGAGACAAATCCACAAACCCTCATCCGACTTCATCAAGCCCTTGCAAGCTCACTTTAAGACACCATCCCAAAAACCCTAAACCCTAAACCCTGAACCCTAAACCCTAAACCCCAAACCCTAAAGCCTAAAGCCTAAACCCTAAACCCTAAACACTAAACCCTAAAGCCCACAAGGTGGCTCTACACCCGGTATGCTGCTGACTTAGAGTCGCCAACACCGGACGGGACCACGGCCGCCGAACTGCTGCGAAAACAGGGGCGCCTCCTCTGAAGAAGTTGGGGTTGCGGGTTTAGGGCCCCCAGAGAAGGGACTATCTTCATGGTGGTATCAAGGTCTGAACAAACGGCTTTCACATGTTTTAGGATAAGAGCTGGTCTTCAGGGTGGTCTGTCAGGGGGTGTACCAGGAGGTCTTCGAGGCGGTCGATAAGGGTTTTGTAACGTCCACCCCTAACCAAGGAGCCCTAACAATCGGAGCAGCAGGACGGGGTAGCTATCCTACACCCTAAGCCCTGAACCCAGGCACCGTGCTGTTTCCTTAAACCCTAAACCCTAAACCCTAAGGGGGGGGAGGGGTTATGCACCCCAAAGTGTCGCAGTGGAATCCGGTGTGGACTTGCGCTGCTCAGACTTTCAAAAGGTAAAACCGCTTCGCTGCACCCTAAACCCTGGGAAAGCTCCCAAACCCTAGCGCCTGGCCTGGAATTCCTGCTACTTACAAGCGAAACGTTGAAGGTTGGGTCAGCCTCATCGCTGGCTTGGTCGACGCAGGTGGGGAGTTGCGGATTTGGGATTTCGGATCAAGTTGTGAACAAACCTACAGCGCTGAACCCTCTCTAGTCCTAGCCGCCCGAGCCCTCTATCAAAGCTTTAATACCCTTTGTCAGTTTGGTCTGAGATAGCCCTAAACCCTAAACCNNCCTAAACCCTTTAGGGTTTAGGCTTTCCCTACTCGACTGTTCCCTAGACCCGTAAGCCCGCAAGCCGCCCCCTTTTGGGGTGAAGCTCAGCACCTCAGGTCTGTCACAGAGGGGATTTCTCTTAGAAGTTGCGGTGCCTTATTTAGGTGTCCCCATCAAAAGAATCCTATTATTTGAGAGATGGAGGGACCCTGTTCAGGATGGACATAAGGCTCTGTATAGGGATCACACGTGCGTGTGAATCAATGAATGTATGGAATTCATGTATGTATGTGTGTATGTAT